TAGAGCGCCTGCAATAAAAACAGCCAGGTCAAACCACAATGTATACTTGTGACACACCTCACTCCTAGGCAGATAGTATTGCCAGCAAAGACAAGGGGGACTTGAATGGCGATTTCGGGCTTATTAGCCGTCTTTAGCCAGTCATACTCAGCCCCAAGTGGTACGCCCCCTCGAGGCTCAAACTCGTGACCCTTTCGGTCAGAGTCTAACGCTCTTATCATTTAGGCACGAGCTCATCGTCTTGCCGGATAACGTCGGGAGATATGTACACTCGTATATCAACGAACAACGACCACTATCGGAACTCCCTTTCGCCCGCTTTGCCTTGGGTCTCATATCTCGGGCCCTGACAGCAGCCGCAGAGGCTAGTAATCTTAGGCAGAGGGGGACAAGTGAGTTCCAGTAGCGGTCGATGAACGTTCATCAACAAGTGTCAACAGCATCCCTCGTCAGCCATACCCCAAGTCAGGGTCATAAAGTTCCAGGCTCGGCTCGGTACCGATTGATCAGTTAATGGCATTTACAGTTGTGCTAGTTGTTGTGACAGGTACAGTAGACTGTCTATCTCGTGAAAGGTCAGCCAAAATTGTGAAATGTGTTTATGATTCGAAGAAACTGCTTAAGCAGAATTGTAATATTGATCATCGTGCGGTCTAACCTCAAGATATTCAAAGCACGCCAGAATTCTGGCTTTTGAACGAACTTTCTGACCACGTGCAAAGGGCATACTCTGTAAAAAAAAGCAGCTGCCTAAGTAGTATACATTTTTCTGCTTTACTTCCGTTGCCCTTCTATACTCAAACCTCTTTTATAGAAAAGATGCCTGAAAATATTCTTTCTTATACTGGTTTGGTAGCAAAGTACGTCATCTTAATTGTTATAGTTACGGAAGAAGTATCATTCGTTTTGAAAAAGTTTCTAATTATGAGATTCTTTAAGACCGTGAAGTGTCTTCTCATAATACATTGTATTCGTCCGTTTATTAAGTTTGCCGGCAACAGTAGCTTATATTGGTAAAAACGTTGGCTGCACCAAAGCGTGCCCCTTGCTGGCCCGGATTCGAATCTCACCGAGGCTGCCGAATGAATTATTTAAACCTGCCAAAGTGCGGGCTTTCAAAACTGAGCCGCCATTTGTTTTAACTGTGCATTCGCATATAAAGTTCTTATATATACACCGGTTGGCCTATAGCGTCCATTATAAACTGATTTTAACTGCCCTTTGTTTGTTCGGCAACAGTAGCTTATGTAGGCCCACTCATTAATCCCTACTCCCAGCATGTTGTCCCACGAAAACGGGGGTTATAGGGTTTTATGGGTGGGGAATTAGGACGCGCAGTGGATTATACTTTAATAACTGCTATATGCATTTTAATTTTATCGTATTTATAAGTGTTGTTAATTTATATCTGTAAATTTTCCTAAACTGTATTATCGTTTAACGTATTGCAGAAAAAACCGATTATCAAATTGCATGCTTCTTGAAATCCCCGAAACATAGAAATGGTGGTTAGGAGGTCGTCTACTTCAAATTACCTGAGATCCAACTTACTGTTCTGGAGTTAGATTAGTACAGTCCGCGACGCGAAGCGCCGCATATACCTTCAATTTACATGTGTAATAACTTACTCCCAGTAGCAGAGGGAAACAAATTTCACTATATTTTTTCACTTCACACTTACTTCTAAAAATTTACTTCTCTGCCTATCCTATTTCCCTACCCCCCAAAATGCTGGGACTAAATTTATATGAGGGGGACTACATAAGCTACTTTTGCCATCTTGCCTATTGAGTACACAACATGATTCACAACCACTGCAAAACTGTATGAGAGCCAAGTTAAAGAACTGTGTGATTTTCCTTAGACAGGGTATATATAGCATGTTGCTTGGAAGCCTTATAGTAAAATGTGCCGGTCATGAAGATTCAACATTATTGAAAAATTTAGGGAGTTTTTAAACCGGAAGATATCTCTTCCTCAACTATAACACATGAGGACGCCGTAATTTGCTACCAAGCCAGTACAAGAATGAATATTTTCGTACATGTTTTCTATAAAATATATCTGAATTTATAACGGCTGTGAAAATCAATGAAAAGGATGCATATTATTTAAGTAATCATTTTTACCGCTTATGTTTTTGCGGGTGGATAGAAGGGAGCTCGTTCAAAAGCTGGCAGCTCGGAATGATTGCAGTGTATTGAGGTTAGACTGCAAGATAATCAGCCTTACAAGTCTATTTAAATAAGTGGTTTTAATCGAGAACACTGCACAAACCCAAAAGTGCAGCAGAAGCAAAAACAGCGGCAGCAGCAGAGGGACAGTGATACTTCTAGTAATTAAACTAGTAATTGTTTTCTACTCTATGTCTAAAACTCTATATAGTTTTAAGTGTGTGGACATTTAGGACTTTCCATGGTGGCCGAGAAAGCCTAAGAAGGCAGATAAAGACAAACTTCTCCAAATCCCTCTTGTAATCAATTCGGTTACGGTTATTTTACCCTTCACCGCATGCTTTTAATTTTCAGCTGTGACTTCAGGTAAATCCCACCTCATCTTCGTTCAAAGAATCACAAACAAGTTCTGTTCTGCCACCTTTATCGACTAATATATTTAATCAGTAATAATCTAAAGCTTAGTGTGTGTCTTGTCATTTTAAACCTGGTCAGTCTGAGAGGCGGAATTGCAGCGTCTCTTTAAACTCTGGGCTCCCCAGAAAGGCGATAGGTTTTGCTGTAGGATTTGATTTTATCGGAAGGCTGTTGAGAACTTCCGATGATGTTCTTCGTGCGATTTTTTTAAATGAAATTAAGTAGTTTGCCTAGAGTGCAAAATAATCATATGCGTTTTTA